ATGAAAAAATAATATCAGGCTCTTGCAACAAATCGTCTATGAGATGTTAATTCATCTTTACTTACCAGAATTTTTCATGACTCTACAAAAACAAATTTCCTTTTGTAAAATTTTCATCGAAACGAATGTTCATTTTCAGGACGTAAGTTTTACAATAAAATGATTTTCCATGAGTCTAGATCATGAATTTCAATTTTTTTCAAATCTTTTTCCAAAATGGGAGGGTCTTTTAAGGGAAAAACCAAAAAAAAAAAAAAAGGGAAAAACGCTCAATTTTCATTCCTTTTCATTGGAGTCTAAGGAAAACAAGAAACTCATTTTTTTCATTTTTCTTCATTTTTTTTTGGGTTCTCAACCAAAATCCTTTTATGAGGACAAATTTTGTACATTTTTTGTTTTCAAAGGGGGGGGGGGGGGACGGTTTTTAAAGGGGGGTTTTTTAGCCCAAAAAATGTAGTTTCATTTAATTCCAATTCTTTTTTTCCATTTTTTTTTTTAAAAAGGGGTAGTTTTCCAAATTTTTTTTATCAAAAAAAAAAAATGGTTCAATCCGGGCTTGGGGGTTCATTTTTTTTCCCATTTAACAGTTTTAACAACGGTCTTAAAAACACAAAGGGTTAAAAAAGTTCTACCCTTTAATTTAACAAAAAATTAATCAAAAAAGAAAATAACTAAAAAAGGGTAAATTTTCAACCAAAAAAAAAAAAAAAAAATTTTTAGGGGTTTAGAAAAGTTTTTTTGACCATGTGGGAGGGAAACGGGGATTTTTACCCAGGGTGGAAGTTTTCAAATTTTTCGGGGGGGGAGGGGGGAACTTTTTTGGGGGGTCTTAGGGGGGGGGTTTCAAAAACGATGAACCTTTAAACCCCCAAAATTCGAACCCGGGCCGGGGAAAAGAAAACAAAAAAAACAACCCCCTAAACCCCCAAGGGGGGGCCCAGGTTTTGGGGGCGAAAACCTTCCCTTACAAAGGGGGCCGGGGGGGAAAAGGCGGGGGAAATCGGGGGGGGGATTTAGGGTTCTTTTTTTTTTAACATTGTTTACCACAAACCCCTCCCCGGCGAATTCGGGGGTTTATTCTTTTTTTCCAACCCCCTCAACAATTTTTTTGTGTCAACCCCCCCCCCCTACCCAGGGTGGGGTTAGGAAGGGGGCCCCCCCTTTCATTTTTTTTGTTTCCCCTTCAAAGGGTTAACCCCTTCCCCCCCGGGGGAAAAAAAAAAAAAAAAAAAGGGTTTTCGGTTTAGCCTACTTCGGGAAAAAACCCAAAAAAAAGAAATCGTAGCGGAAAACCCGGATTAAAAAAAAAAAAATCGGTTTTAACTTTTAAAAAAAAAATTGGGGGTGTTAAAAAAAATTTAACGGGGGCCCAAACCCCCAAAAAAGAAAAATAAAAAATAGGGGGTTAAAAACAAACCAGTCCTTACTTCTTTCCTTTTTATTTTCCCCTTTTTTTATTAGTTTTTCGGGTTCGGGGGGACTTCACCATTTTTCTAAAAGAAACAAATTTTGGGGTTCAGGAAGGGGGGTTTTGGGGCCCGGTGAAAACCCCCCCCAAAAAAGGGGGGGTTAGAAAAAAATTAAAAAAAAATCAGGCGGGAACCCAAAAACCCCCAAGGGGGGGGGGACAAAAAAAAAAAAAATTAAAGAAAAATTTTGAGGTTCAAAAAAAAAAAAAAAAAAAAAAAAAAAAAATTATTTGGTTGTTTTTTAAAGGGGGGGGGGGGGGGGGAAACCAAGGTTAGGGGGGGTTTGGGGTCACCGGACGGGGTCATTTTTTTTTTTTTCTTTTTACATTTTACCCTTGGGTTTTTTGTTTTAAACCCCAAACCGTTCGTTTTTAAAAAAGGGGAAAAAAGGGAAACCCCAAAGTCGAAAACCCTTGGGGAAGCAATTAATTAACTTTTTAGTTTTAAAAAAAAAAATGACCGGGTTTGTTTTCGAATTCATTTTTTAGTACTTCCCAAACATAGAAATTTTTAAGGGGTTTTATTTTTTTAAATTATGACCTTGTCAAAAAAAATTTTTTCCCCAAAAAAAAAAAAAAAAAAAAAAATTTGTTTTGTAACTTATTACTTTTAAAAAAAAAAAAAATAAACCTTTTTTATATTAACCCCTTTTATACCTCGGGGTTTGGGCCCCCCCAAAATTTTACCAATTTCTTTACCACCCCTTTTTTTTTTTTATTTTTCTGCCAACTTTGGGTTTTTAAAAAAACCCTGGGGAAAAAAAAAACCTGGGGATTTTTTTCCCCTTTTTTTTCAACCCCACCTTAAAGTTTAGTTTTTTCATAATCAAAAAAAAAAATTAGGATTTTAAAAGGTTTCTTTTTCCTCTTTATTTAAAAGGGTTGGGGTGGTGGGGGGGAAAAAAAAAAAAAATGGTTTCCTTATGAAGTGGTCACCCCCCAACTTACCGGTTTAGGGAAGGAACCCCAAAATTCTATTGTTTGTTTAATTTTATAACCCGGGGGGGGATTTCCCTTTTATTATTTCGCGGGGTTCGGGGTTTTTTTATGTACCATTAGGAAATGGGGGCAAACCCTTTTGGGTACCCTACACCCAAAAAATTTATTCTTTTTTTTTGAAACCTTTATGTCGCCAAACCCTTCCCCCCCCGCCCCCAAGGGGGGGGGGTGGGGGGAAAAGGGGGGCAAAAGGGGGAAAAAAAGGGGGGATACTCTCCGAACGGAAAGGGGGGGGTTAAACGCCCCGGCGGGTACTTTTCCGGGTTTTTTACCCGGTGGGGGGTTGAAACCAAAAAACCCTCTCCTTCCGGGGCTTTGCCAGGTGTCTTAAAATTTGGGTAGTTTTTTACGGACCCCGATCTCCCGTTTTTTACGGGCGGGTCAAACTCCAAAAACGGGGGGGGAAATTCCCCGGGGGGGGGCCGGGGGGGGGGGGGGGGCCTTTCGAAAAGGGGGTTTGGAAGAAGCCCCGTGAGGGAAAACCGAAAAATCTTTTACCCTTTTTACCTCCTTTTTTTGTCTTTTTAATTTAGGGATCCTAAAAAGGCCTGACAAAAAAAACATTTTCAACGTTAAAAATTTTTTTTGGTTGGGAAAATTTCCTTTGAATTAAAACCCTAAGATTTAATTCCCGGGGGGTAACCCCATTTGTTATCCAAAAAAAAAGTTACCGGAACCCCATTTTCAAAAAAAAAAAAATTAAAAATTCAAAATTGTTTTTTCCATTTAGGGGCGACCTAAAAAAAAAAGGGGTCTAACAAGGGGAAAAGAAAAGGGGGGGTTAACATTTTTCAGGGGGGGGGTTTTTACCCTTTTTTTTTTTTCCCAAAAAAAAAAAAACAAAAAACCCCGGCCCCAACCCTGCGCAGGGGTGGGGGGTGCCTTTTTTTTTGACTATTGGCCTTTAAAAACCCGGTCAATTTGGGCGACCCCAAAAAAAAAACCCTTTGGTTGTTGGGCCTTTTTAACCCAACCCCCGCGTTTGTCTTTCCAGGGGGGCCGGCGGGTTTGAAAAAAGGACCCCCGAAAAACCAAAAAACCCTTGAACACATATTTAATATATAAAAAAAATTTATTAAACCCACTTAAAACTTTCGAGTAAAAAAAAATGACTTTTTGAAAAAAATCAAACCACCTAAAAAAATCCAAACTTATAGAAAAAAATGAAAAACAAAACCGAATGAAAAAGATGAAATTGTCCTTCCGGTGTTTAAAAAAAAGTTTTTTTTTTTTTTTTAAAAACGGAGGGAAATTAAAAAACCGGTCTAAACCGGCTTACAAAAACGTGTAATAGAAAAAAACAGGGGGTGGTTCTTTGTAAATTTCAACAGAGAACATTTCTTAAAGGCAAAAAATTAATCATGTGAGACCAACAAAGGGAAAAACCAACTTACTTTGGTTATTTCAATTTTACAAGGAATTTAGATAGATAGAAATAAGAATTTAAGAAATTAGATCAACCCTTTAAAAATTTTTATACTAATTTACGGACAAAAATTTAACACTAAAAACCCGGTGAACCCTTTCTAACTAAAAAAAAAAAACTAAAAAAAAACTTTTAAATACGTACGATTCTTTATTGAAAAAAAAAAAAAAAGTAGGTTGAACGAAAAAAAAAAATTGACTGTCGGACATTAAAGTCAGAGCTGTTGAGTGGCACAAAAAAGAAATTATACAAAAAAAAATAATCCTTCGTTCGTTATTATTCAAAAAAACTCAAAAAAAAAAACCGCAGATCCGAGCCCGGGAGTTAGGTTGAGGGTGTCTAAAAAAAAAAAAAATGTTTTCTTGTAAACTTTTCAACTTCACTAAAATCTTATTGAATGGGAGGCTCGGATCGTCCAACCCTTTCGGGAAAACCCCAAAACCACCCCCCCCCCCCCCCCCGGTTTTTCCGCTCGTCGTCGTTCGTCCTTTTTTGTGTCGTCGTCCTTTGTTTACTTTGCATCGTCATCGTTTCAACCTTTGTGTTCGTTCGGGTCCTCGTATCGCTCCGTGCTCCGTTTCCTTTTCTGAACCGGGTTTTTTCGAAAATTTTATCTTTCGCCGTACAAAAAAATCCTTCTTTACACAAAAACAAAAACCAAAAGAATTCAAAATATAGTGAAAGTAGCGACAGTAAAAGTAGTCATTGTGCAGATTGGTCTATTTCAGAATAATATATATGATATGTTTTATAATGATTGATCATGAAAGTGTTCTCAAAGCTGGTAAAGGTGCAGCTAGTTTGAATGACTTTGTATACTGCAGGGTAGCTTGTGGATTTACTCCAGGTGGAACTAAAGTCTGATTTAACACTTGATTAGATTTCACATCATTCATCCAGATCTGTAAAGTACCTAAAGGTATTAAATACATGCAGTGGAATAGAAGTACACCATTTACCTCTGAACTGTAGTGGAGTAGAAGTACTAAGAAGCACAATTATAATTCTGAAGTAAAGTACAAGTACCTCTAAATCGAACTTAAATACAGTACTCGAGTAAATGTTAGTTACTTTACACCTCTGAGCAGAAAGTAGAGCCACGCTGCAGAACTGTGACAGACTTTATTTACTAAACTCCTGCAGGAGGTAACAGGACAACCAACATGGACTCTGTATGCTCCGAAACACACTTTAAAAATGCTTCAAAATTAAACACACTCATGGATCAAACAGATCAGATGTTAAGGTTGAATCACAGCCAGTCATGAGCGGCAGAAAAGACATTTAAAAAAAGATGACCTAACCTGATTGATGACGCAATCTCCTTCCAAGAAAGTAGGGCCTATTTAACGTCAGCACTCATGACACTAATGTTTACTTCATGTAAATATATACACACACTTTATACAGCGTCTATTTTTGCTTCATCACACTGGCACATTTATCCCAACTTAAAGCAAAAGTAGGACATCTATTTGGGAAAACCCCAAAACCAAAATAGGGCCTCTTTAAGTAGGATTTATTTTTCATACACACATAAGAACCAACCAAGCTCTTGCAAGAAGGAAATGTCAAACTACTTCAATAAAGCCCCCTCTTACAAAAAAGCACTTTAAAAGTATGCTGAAATTGAGTAAAAATCAAAGTTTATTTTAATGGTACTTCACCATTCTGACACCATGCAGCTTTTGAAAGTGTGCTTAAAGGTTTTAAGGAGGGGAAGAAACAAAATGTCTTTACAAAGAGATTACATTCTGCATGCTGCACTGAAATAAAGCAGAAAAACACAGATGAGTTCACTCCACGAGAATCTGTCCGACAGATTTGAGATTCAAATGAAAATCGTTGTGTTTTGTGAGAAAGAAAAAGGGGAGGAGAAGCAGGGGAATGTCGGCTCTGAGGAGGAAGAGGAGGAAACAGTATGGCGGCATGGCTTCTCTCTTCTTCTTTATCGCTCTCCTTTTTCTAGAAGAAGCGACCAGAGTACTGCCTCACACTGAAACCAGAAACACATGAAAGTAGGACAACATTAGGAATATTTATTGGAAGAGGAACGTGAGATCGGATGCTTCACACACATTTTTATTGTGGAATGACAGCATTTATTTAAAAAAACATGCCACTAAATAGAAAAGCTTCATGACTGCTTAGACATGTAGAGAGAAGGAGAGAAGGAAGTGTGTGAAACTCAACATTAAAACTCACATATTTCTTTCTTAAAAGGCGCTTTGCATTACGTCCAAAAGTTACACACTGATTTCAGATCAGGCTGAAGCTTATGATTGTTTGTGCTGTGGAATCATGACTTTCTCCATTGTTTTGTTTATAAAAAGGGTCGACAATTCTATATATAATAAGTATATATTTCATATTATTACCAGAAGCAGCAGGTCCTCACATTTGAAGAATATAAAATCTCTCTAGACTCAAAATAATAAAGAAGAATTTTGAAAATGGAAAATATCCGATTCCAGAAATCCACGGACTGAATACATGAATGCATCGTTAGCAAATTAAAACATAACATTTAAGAACTCTTATAAAGTAAAAAAGGATTGTTCTAATGACCAACAGGGGAAGTTTAATTGTTATATTTGTTAATTAAACATTTCAAAACAGAGCCTGATTTATGGAGCATTTTTTATTCCTCAAAATACAAACAGATTATCAAAACTGAAAATGAAACAAGAACATTTAACCTAACAAATCCAAATTAGCACAGTTTTTAATACATAATGCCTATCTTGCAAACACAACATTTTAGAAACCTCAATAGGAACAATGATTGCATTTATTACTAACGATCTGGGGAAGATTTAAGGAGATATCTAGATTTAGTACTTCCTTCACCTGCAGCGTGCCCCTTCAGAGCGACAGCAGGCTCATAATATGTTTGATGTATTTCTTTGTGTGTGCTTTACCTGACTGCAGACACTCAATAAAGCAAATTAACTATCTTAAAAACAGCAACAAAACCCATGTTTACTTCCATGCAGAGCAGACCCACAGATAGCAGCTCTTTGTGGGTTGGGGGGGGGAGGGGGGGGGTCACTGGAGAACGTGCCTGTTCTGCAGCAGGTACTGGGCGTTCTGGATCTGGTCCTGTGTGCCCGTGATGGTGATGATTCGGTCCTCGGAGCCCTCTAGTGGCTCATCAATCTTGATGGAGGCTCCGGACTCGTGGCGGATCTGTTTGATCCTCTGGCCCCCCTTCCCGATGATGGAGCCCGCCAGCTGGGGAGCAAAGGAGGGTTAGATCAGCAGGGAAACGTGTCTTAAGGTCTTTGTTGACAGCAACATTTGTTGTTTTTGAAACTTTTGTAACCAGCTGCAGAGCAAAGGAGGGTTCAGGGTTCATACACTTTTTCACCAATGACCTCTCCATGACCTTTACCTAATTTTCCATGACCAAAAACATTACTCAGCGTACCACTGAAAATGGTTTATTTTAACTTGGAACAGGAAAATAAGGTCTGAAACATGTTGTGCCAATCTAAAACAAATCAAATAGTAGGCTAACTAGCTTCTACACGCTAAAGCAACTGAAATCTCTCTCCAGCAAAACACCTCGTCAGTTAAATGCCATTTTACGTTTCATACGATACAGTATTTATTATCATTATAGTATTACTATTTCGGCGATTAGCTAAAATATGAATTATATTTGATGCAACTTTAGTTACATTTCCATTAATTTTCCAAAACTTTGGGAAAAATATGGTTTTCCATGACCTGGAATTTGCATTTTGAATTTCCATGACTTTTCCATGTTTTTAATGAGCGTAGGAACCCTGAAGGTCTTTATTTACAGCAAAATGTGCGGTTTGTAACGTATAAATAAAGACGGCATTTTCATAATTGTGCATTTAAATAAAAACATATGAATAGAATACAACATAAAAAACAAAAAAAATTATTTATCAAAGCAAAAACAAATTTGCATATTATATATTTTTATTTCATATTTAAATATGTTACGATTTATTATTTTCTGTGTTTGTTACATTTTTTCCCTATTTTCTATTTCTCTCTTGGTATTTTAATAAATATTTAAATATATTTAAAAGGGAATAACAAATATATTAATAAAAAAATATATATATTCAGTTTCAGTTATATATATTCCTGGTTGTGCTTTTCGATTCCAGTTCTTTTCGGTTCTTGATTTCTAAAACCTGGACATACTGTGGGTGTTTCTCAATGTCGAGTAAAGCTGCTCCAGAGCCACTATTTCAAGCATACTACCGAGGCCGGCGTACTTCGTAGCGAGACATTTCGAGGCGGCACATGTGTAGACTCCGGTCTTAAAATCCCCACAATGCTTTGCGCACGGACCAATTTCCCCAAATCTGTGGCGAAAATGTAAGGCGGGGCCTCTCATATGACGCACACCTGCACACCTGCTCGCCTGTTCCACTCTTCGTTTTCCGAATGCCACGAAGGATTCTTGCCTAGCTTCTGAAGAAAGTGACTCGGAAGACATGTGCTACCAAGCAAGCATCCTCGACATTGAGAAACACCCTGAATCTCTCTGATTGCACTGTACAATCTCTTGTAGATTTTCTTGCCAATATATATATTCCTGGTTCTGCTTTTCGATTCCAGTTCTTTTCGGTTCCTGATTTCAGTACCCAACCCTAGTAATGACATCTTTGTTCATCCGTATGAAGGGTCCACACTACAGCAGTAGATGTGTTTATCCGGCTCCGATTGAGGATAAAATAATCAATGTTTCATGCTTACACTGACTTTTTACAAACAGGAAGCGCTTTAGACTGACTGTTAATCTGTTGATTGGATATTTTGGCAACAGCATGGTGTTTTTTAACTCCATATTTAAAGGTGACCAATCATGCAAAATGCACTTTAGTACGTCTCTGATACATGAATATGTGTCCCCGGTGTTCCAGGGAACTCACCAAGTGTCAGAAAACACAACCCTCTCTATTTTCCTCCATACCCAAATCTCTTAAAAAGGGGCTGCAACGGATCTGATACAGACTGATCCAGATTTGAACACTTCTATGACGTCACAGAAGTGGCGCTACGGCTATTGGGCCAACTCCACCAATCAGGAGGAGACAGCCACGGACATTGCCGTTGGAAAGCGCTGGAGACTCTGTAGTACATATGCCAGGCCTGTAGATGGTGCTGTTCTCACAGAATCAGCCCATGCAAAGACAATGTTAAATTGAGCGAAATGAGGAATGGATAAAATGCATGATCTGTTTGGTATTTTGAAAAATAAAAAGTATAAATATGCCTTATATAGGAATGGTACTACACTATATTATTCAAATATAGCATGATAGGTCCACTTTAACTAAATTAAGTCTTTGAAGCATTTTTTTTGGACACTCACGTCTTTTGGGATGGTGACTTGTGTTGTGATGACTGGGCCTCCGATGTCGCTGTACGAGCCTCTGCCGCCTGAAATCAGGAGATAAAGAACATTTCAGGTGGTTCTATCTTTGACTGAAGCATGCAACAAGAAGCCCTTTAGGTGTGAGGGGTCAAGAGAGAAGAGACATGTAATCCATCCCCACTCACCAGACTGGAAGTGCTCCCAGGAGGAGTTGTTGTCTTTAGGAGAGGAAACAAGAGAGTGAGAAATGAAACAAACCAGAGGAGGAAGAGTGATGGAAAACATAACTACAGAAAACACCTAAAGTGAACCGTTCCTCCCTCTATGTGCTCTAAATAATAAGGAAAGGGAGGCAAAGGGACCCCCAGGGAGAGATTACATTTATCTAAATTATTATGATGTATTGAAAATAATTTTAAAATCTAAAATAGTTAATAATGTAGTGTTTATTATTTTTAAATGAAAATCCGAAACTGTGTTTTATTGACTCTCAACATACTGGATACACGTGTGTGTGTTGTGTGTGTGTGTGTGTGTGTGTGTGTGTGTGTGTGTGTGTGTGTGTGTGTGTGTGTGTGTGTGTGTGTGTGTGTGTGTAAAGTACCATGATATCTTACATTTACAGAATTTAGTTTAACAAAAATAATATTTTTTCTAAATGTAAAATAGTATAACAATATAAGCTGATCTGAATAAAAAAGTAATTTTATTATGATAATCAGAATCTGTGTTTTATTTAGCCTATGTATGCATGCTGTATGCGCGCGCGTGTGTGTGTGTGTGTGTACGTGTGTGTGTACGAGTGTGTACGTGTGTGTGTGTGTGTGTGTGTGTGTGTGTGTGTGTGTGTGTGTGTGTGTGTATGACTGTGTGTGTATGACTGTGTGTGTGTGTGTGTGTGTGTGTGTGTGTATGACTCTGTGTGTGTATGACTGTGTGTGTGTATGACTGTATGACTGTGTGTGTGTGTGTGTGTGTGTGTGTGTGTGTGTGTGTGTGTGTGTGTGTGTGTGTGTGTGTGTGTGTGTGTGTGTTTTCTGAAATCAACTTATAATGATCCCATTTCTCTGAATTTGAAATGTTAATATATTGCATTACTACTTTTAGCCAATTTAATTTAAATCGGTTATTTGATGTTGGGGTGGGGCAATTGAATTTAAAACCTGTAATATGTTCCTATTTCTCTCGTTGTGTATATATGATCGTTAGGGGGTCCCCAGTATTTCTTCTACCTTCTGAGTGTTCCTTGTCTGAAAAACAATTAGGAAACTCTGCATTAAAGGAAGATCATTGTACAAGTGTCCCTGATGAAGAGGACAATACGCAACATGTCTAAAACTAATTATTACCACAATTAAAACAATGACATGACTTTGTTTGATTAAATAATGAATGTCACTCACCATATCCTCCTCCTCCCTGCGTGTCAGGATCGATGGAAAGGAAAAAAGATGAACAAGAAACAGTTTAAAGGACGCCGTAATAAGAGGACATTTTGATAGTGCTGGTGTTAGCATTAGCTGTGTACAAAATAATATATTATCGTAATTATTTGAATCCTATAAATTCAATATATGCAGTTCTGAATCCCGCCATATTTTCCCCTACATTTTTAGAAATACTTTAAACATTTTCTGATGTATATGTTCTTCAGACCTAAAGGACGCCTGTTCAGGTTCCGTTTTTTTTATTTTCAGCTCAAGTTCATTTGTGCTAGCGCCGGTGGATCTCCGGACTACGTACTCAGCTGCTCCGCGGTAACCACGGAGACAACTGTTGCCAGGCAACAACAGGCCCCGGATCAGTGTGCGAACACACACACACACACACACACACACACACACACACACACACACACACACACACACACACACACACACACACACACACACACACACACACACACACACACTACTAACGTCACACACACACACTACACACACACACACACACACACACGGGGGGAGCAGCACGGTGACCATGCCTGTGTGTGTTACACTCATAAAGAGGAATCCCAATCACCTCGTCTGAAACATATTTCACAATAAACGACATGACACACATATTCACACACTCACCATGCTGTCGAAACGGTCTCCTCCTCGGCCTCTTCTGTCACTAAACACACATAATTATATTATATTAAATGCATTTATATATCCAACAAATACATGTTTTATACCAATTTATTTACATTTCATACATTTTATTTAGGTTCATTTTACACTGATTTGTTTAGGTATAATACTTATTGCAGGAAGGGACATGCAGACTATGTGATGACCTGTGATCAGTTCAGACTCTGAATTGGTGGTGTTTTTTACCTGTGTATTTTATAAATGTATATAGTATAATATCTCTATCATATCATGAGTTATTGATAATCCTGGCCTGTCCTCACCTCTGTCTGTCGTCCATGCCGCCGTGATAACTGCCATGAGAGAATCTGTCCCCCCTGGAAACAAGGACAGCGAAAATGTTGGAAAACTAAAATACAAACTTCCTACGGTTCCTAATCTATGGAGGGCTAAAGCTGCCGTTACAATTGACACATTCAAAATATACTTTGGAAATGAATTCACAATAATTCATAAATTACAATAAATAAGCAGGTTATTGAGAACATTATTAATACATAAAAACATTTATTTTTTGTTATTTTATTTTATTCAAATTTGATTAATTCTCTTTTTGTTGTTGTTGTTTTTTTACTTAAAGGGTACCAATCATGCAAAATGCACTTTTTGATGTCTTTCATACATCAACATGTGTCCCCGGTGTGTCAGGGAACTCACGCAGCGTCAGAAAATAAAACCCTCTCTTTTCCTCCGTACCCAAATCTCTAAAAACGGGGAACAACGGAGCTGATCCAGATTTGCGTCCGATATGACGTAATATCTGAAATGTGGACCCACGGCCCTATCAGAAACGTTGCTATCAGAAACAATGCCCAACTGTTTTGGACGTAATATGGTCGGTGTTTACATTAGCATCGCTAACATGTACTGGAGAGCATGTGTGTGAAGAAGCAGGAAGTAAAAAGGAACTCACCTTGTGGTATAACCGGCAAGAGAGAAAGCCTTTGAGCTCCATACTGTTTCAGAGATAATCCTTGATAATCCATGATATGGCGTTTCATCACGGCAGTATTTAGTTTAGACAGTAGCTGCCGGGTCCCGCATGAGCTCAGACCCCTACTTTTTGATTTATTTTTAAGCACTTTGAAACAGGAAGTGAAATAGAGGGATATGAGGCATGGCTAGAATGGGTGATCTGTTTGGTATTTTGAGCAAAACACTTCATAGACATGTTTTTTATATATTTTTATATATCTGAGACCTATGCTATTGGCTAAAAATAGCATGATAGGTGACCTTTAACACTTCTAACCACACCACAGTAATCCATGCTTAGGAACTGTTTGTTCCCATTATGTCTTACCACACTACTTATGTGCCTGGTTTCTAAAAACACACCAGGACTAAATCCTTCGGTACACCGATCCTCCCTTTTTTTTACAAATGTATTGTACATGTCCCCCACTGTGGGACGTTTAAAGCGTCTCTGGGTCTGAACACCTTCCTTTTAAATAAAGCCCATAGATAGAGAGCTTAGATGTCCCTACGTCTGTCCTCTTGAGTCCGAAATGTTATGGTATTTCATAGTTTTTACTGTCTTTTTATTCATTATTTTTAAACCCTTGTTGACTTTAAAGTGCCTCTCCTCACCCTCCTCTTGGCAGCGGTGGAGGAGGAAGAGGCAGATTTCTCGCTCGGCTCCCTCCTCTTCCTCCTCCTCTGTTCAATGGAGGAGGAGGAGGACCCCGTCGCGGGCTGATGTCATCATAGTCCCGTCTGGAGGAGGGGGGCATCGGCCTGCTGCCTCTGGAGGGGGGAGGCATGTGATCAAAGCCCCCTCGAACCCTCATGGGGAAACCCCCTCCTCCGATTGGTCGTCTGCCTCGCTCCTCGAAAACAACGGTGAAGCCGCCGTAGTCGTACGTCTCGTTGTAGAAGTTCGGGTCGTAAGGCTGCGCTCGGCCTTTGATAGGCGCCTGTGGAATAAAAAGGGAATTATTAAAAATTATATATATCTATCTAACTTGTATTTATTTGTTCATTATTCATTTGATTTGATTATTTCACAACATTTATTTCTGGAAATTTAATAAAAAAAGCTGTAAAAAACTAAAAAGATTGCTTGTTAAACATTTACTTTATGATATTTAAAGTTGTCTTTATATAATGTAATGTAATTATATAACGAGTAAAAACTGTGAAAAACAGCAGTCTGTGCTTTTGTCATATTGACCTCTAAAATGTCCGAATTGACCAATCAGAATCGAGTATTCGATTAAGCCTTGCAGAGATGGCAAAAGTTCACACATCCTTTACTCAAGTAGAAGTACAGATACTCGTGTTTAAAAATACTCTGGTGAAAAGAAATACTGACTAAACTTCTTTACTCAAGTAAAAGTAAAGAGGCTTTGAAATGTACTTCAGTAAAAAAGTACCCATAACTAGCAGCTGTTTTAAAGAGTACCTGACCTCCCTTTATATTAATAGAACAATAATGTCATTGTTAGCTAATGAATGTTTCCATGCTGAACAACGGCAACATGACAACGTTTTCATTGGTCCCTCTTCTTTAGAGAAGACCAGGAAATGATGGATACACGGATCGTGTTCAAATCAATAGGCACGCAATGACTCTAAATAATAATGATCACGCCACCAAACACACATTCAAACTAAAGGAACCAGCCTGTTTGGAAAATGTGAGAAGTAGAAAGTACAGGTATTTGTGTTCAACATGTAAGAAGTAGAAAGTACAGGTATTTGAGTTCAAAATGTAAGAAGTAGAAAGTACAGGTATTTGTGTTCAAAATGTAAGAAGTAGAAAGTACAGGTATTTGTGTTCAAAATGTAAGAAGTAGAAAGTACAGGTATTTGTGTTCAAAATGTAAGAAGTCAAAGTAAAAAGTTGTCAGAAAAATAAGTAGTGGAGTAAAGTACTGATACCAGAAAAATGTACTTAAGTACAGTAACAAAGTATTTGTACTCCAATGCTTCCCACCTCTGAAGCCATGTAATAAAGTAAATTAAGACTGACCTCGGCCACCAGCTCCAGGATAACTTTTATACACTCGACGACTCGCTCTGGTTTCCCTCCGACCAAAACCACTCTGTCGGTGGAGTGAGGACAGCATTCCTGGAACAGCTTGATGGTGGTCTGGGTGTTCTGGGCAGGAAACAGGAACATATTAAACCAATTAAATCCACTTTGATAACTCTGCTACTAAGCTATGGAAGGACAATGCTGCCATTACAATAAATAATGACACTAAAATATGCATACATGAAATGTGCCTGACAAACATTTCCGTATTTAATTATTTATGAATTAATTATATTTAGTTTACATTTTACTTTATTACAAAGCATATTTTTTTTATACATTTTCAGCATTATTATTATTATATAAACCAATAATGCCAGATAAAAAGTAGTGTTTTCATACATGTATTTAACGTCATTTCTACAAACAAACTTGATTATTTTAACAATTAATCTCCTCTGTCCCACCTCTCTCAGCTCCTTAATCTTGGCTCCTTTCACCCCGATGATCCCGCCCGCCAGGCTCTGGTGGATCAGCAGGCGAAGCTCCGAGTCAAAATCTGTCCCACTGTAATGCTGGTACTAAAAAAAACAAAAAACAAAGCAACATCAGAGTGGTCCTAGAGCCCAAAACTCTTTACCAACCCTTAAATACGAAATATTGGGCCACTCCCAATTTCTATTAAAGGGGTCATATTCTGCTGATGTTCAGGTGTATATCAGTATGTAGTGTCTCTACTTTAAAGAGTCCTCTCCTGCTGATGTTCAGGTGTATATCAGTATGTAGTGTCTCTACTTTAAAGAGTCCTCTCCTGCTGATGTTCAGGTGTATATCAGTATGTAGTGTCTCTACTTTAAAGAGTCCTCTCCTGCTGATGTTCAGGTGTATATCAGTATGTAGTGTCTCTACTTTAAAGA